AAAAAAAAAAAAAAAAAAAAAAAAAAACCAGAATATACTAGTTTTTTTTTTCCTTTTTAAAGTAATAACACTTGCTAAGTTTAAGGAATTTGAAATGTATAAAGAAGCTACAGAAAGGGGAAAATCTTATGTGATTCCATCACCATCACTCAGATAACCACTCAATATTTTCTGTGTATAGTAATTTTTTTAAGTACATCAGTTTTGAAACATATTTTTTTAAAAAAAGCTCAGAGTTTATAATGAAGAGATAGAAGACTCAATACATACAGTATCCACACTAAACTGTTATGAAGATCTGGATCTACTAACTCCATGTCATCCAAAGTAATTGACTTCCCAAGCAACTGCTTATAAAAAGGCAATGTGAAACCACCATCAATATAATGTCCATGAAACACAGCCATTCCCATTATTCGTCCAACAAAGTGGAAATAGGATAAATGTTCCTGAAATTGAAAAGAGTGTATATACTTGAGTTAGAAACTACTCAGGAAAATTTTAATAAAAATGAAATATTTCAACAAGATTAATTTTTTGAGAGTAAGCATGAAATCTGTACTCTTCAATATAGCCAGGAGGGAGTATTTCTCTAGGGCATGCTCAGGAGTCTCTAGATCACCAGAGAACAACATATTACACAGGGTAATAGGCCCTTCTCACAGGGTCCAGTCATTTTGTCAATTTTATCTTTTAGAAATTAAGTCCAAACTATGGTCCCCCAGCGCTTCATTCAGCTACTTGGAGATCCTTTTCTCTTCCTTCTCTCACCTCCTGCTGAGCCCTTGTTATGAAAAAAATCTTTCAATCCTAAACCTCCCTACTTCCTTGGCCTAACCAGAAATTAAATATCAAAACACCATAGATTTAAGAGCACAGATTTGGTGTCAGACTTGGACTGGAATCATGATTCTGCTAGTCACTGGCATTTGGACAACTTTACTCCTGCAGGACTCACTGTCCACATCTGGAAATATGAGAATAACAGTATCTATCTAAAAAAGCATCTCTATGAGGAGTAAAATGAGGTGATGTTTGAAACCCATGGAACTGGACCTGGCATATGTAAGCACCCAATGAGTGTGGGCTATCATCACTACAGTGGCAGCAGTGGGCCCTCCAAACAACCTTCACCTAAATAATTTCCTGAAATTAAAAAAATCCTCCCTAAATAATTTCCTGAAAGAAATCTAACATTTCTACTCTGTTTGCATATATTGGTCAGTCGTCACAGATTGTTTTGTTAGATATTTGTATTTTTAAATTCTTTTACCCATTTACTAAGTAATCTTTTAAGCTTGTCTTTAAAACTTTTTATCTTAAAAAGTTTTTCTTTTTTAAAATACACACACACACACACACACACACACACACACACACACTCTCTCTCTCTCTCTCTCTCTCTCTCTCTCTCTCACACCAAAGTTGCATTAAACTATTTCATAACCTTCTTTTCACTTAACACATCATAAACACCACCTTTCCATATCATTAACTATTTTAGTGGCTGTATAGTATGCCCTTGTATGGAAAGACAAAATAATATAAAAACAGTACATTAGTAATAACTACCAACTTCTGTTGAGTGCTTAATAATGCAGTCGATAGAGTTGTGGAGTTAATAACATACAGCACTGTGCTAAATGCTTAATGTACAGGGTCCCATCTAATTCTCATAACCCCTCTCCCAGGTACAAATGTATTTATTAGCAATGACAAAATTGAAGTTTACGTCCATGAACTTGCCCTGACAGGTCACAAAGCTAGTAAGTGATGAGACGATGACACGTCTTTCTAATTCCACAATCTGTAACTTTAATCACTTGCTTTGCTCTGGTCCATGTCATAATTTAATCAGTCTCCCCTCTTGAAGACAATCGTATTGTTTTCAGTTGGGGGCTACTATAAACAGTAAACATCCCTGTTTCCAAACTGTAGCATATATCCATAATCATCTGCTTGGGAAAACTTTGTAGAAGAGGAATTGCTCAGTCAAAGGGTACAACTAGGACAAGGACAAAAATTTCTAAATAATAAACTATGTTAACATGTGAAGATGAAAAGCATTATAGGTCACAGCTTAATTCACATCATCATAACAATAAATCATACCGGATTAACAGCAGAATCAGGATTGATCTGCAATGTATAGATATCATCTCTTGAATATTGGAAGAGGCCATAGTATGGATTCAACATTTCATGTGACAAGAGATACAACCATTCCCTAGAAAACAAGATATGACCAAAGAATTTTTTTGTTAATGTATATATTTCTGTTAAGATATGCCATTAATTGTTTTAGAAAGAATTTTTTTTTAATCATAAAAGGCAAAAACGCACTAAGTACAGTTACATAAGATCACATTGGGAAAAATCTACCATGCCCAAATAGCAAATAAAAACTCTATTTCATTACACTGAAGTAACATCTCACTCAAAATTTAGGCAATTTTATTATATTTCAGTCAAAGAGTATAAAAGTATTATCCATCATTTCAATTACTCACGAGATGATATAGTCTGGTGGTCTGTTACTTTTT